ACACCATCCAACTAATTAGATGGTGTAGAATATCGTAACCTTATTTCTAAAAGTAAGGTTGCAACCTATATAAACGGTAACCAAATATAAAATCCTCGAAGGAGGTTAAGAATTTTATGAAAGATCAATCGCATGTGTGCCCAAAATTTCATGTTCATGCTTTTAGAAAAATCAAACACTAATATGCCACACGAGAAAATTGTGCACAATATTTAAATAGTTTAATATGAGTTGTGCGGCTTATACTGTTCTATAGAGCTGGAGAGAGAGAGAGAGTTTTTGGTAGAGATCTTCATGTAAGATGATGAGGGTCTTGGGCCTAATATTGAGAGGGTACAGTCTTTACCCCCAAACCCGCTCCATCCTAATAACAAGAAAACAGATTCAACGTATACCTCCTCCCAATTTCAGGTTCTAAAGATGTTATAACAAACCAAAAACCAAAAGAAATAAAGTTGGGAAAAGTAAAAAGGAAAAAGAAAACCCACTACTTTCTATACTTCCCATGTTATCCCTTCCTCTTCATGGATCATATTCTCAGTAAGACCACATAGATCCATGACTCATGATAAATTGTGGTAAAATTTTATGCTTGCTACTTACCTAACACGATACACCTCTTATGCTTGGGTTTGGGACGGGTTAAAAAAAAAAAATTTATAAGTCCTCACCTTCTTAGGCCATTGAATCGTACTACATCAGGAACTAATTGTATATATGAAAAACAAAAGACCAATGTCTATCTGCCAGCAACAAAACTATATATGAGAAAGAGAGGATCACTTCCCTTTTTTTATCCCTTCCAGTCATCCTTATTCAATAATCACCCTTATCAAGAATTATTCATAGGTCATATCAGGAGCGACAACTCAACAAATTTTATGCAATCACTTTCAAATAGTACATTTTTAGTCCTATTTCTCCATCAACTATGGCTCCTGGTGGGCCAAATTGGCCGAGCCATCCCAGCCTAAAGCGGGTTCGGTTTGGGTGCTGTACTTTTCCATGGATTAGGGCCAGTCCTAAATTTAAGTTTGAGGACATATTTACAATCCGATAAATTTTTAATCTGCATTTTTTTCCAATGTAATTTGAATAATTGGCATTTGTTGTGTCGATGTGTTTTGATTGGTTTGTCAGAACTGACAAAGAAATATTCATTTGTCAACCGTGTGTGGTTTACAAAACTTAGCAATGTGTGTAGCATGAACTCACAAGGGCACACTGTATACTTATTCCCTTTGTTAAAAGACATAATTCGGAGTATTTCTTGATCCAAGACTTTCGGATCACTTTAAAAATCACCTGATGAGTATTATCAAAAGGGAAAAGGTTTATATAAGGTACCTAAGAAATCCTGCAGTGGAGAGTGTTTCGGCAGAGGTGAACCCTCCGGTGATCATCTTGACCTTGAGATGAATGGGCATGAAGAAAAAAAAGAATTTCAAGTCCAAAAAAAAATGTGTCTTGAAATAAATTATTTGGACCATCTATTTTCAAATGTTAGTGTTCTTGATATGCTTGATCTTTGACATCTCTATTATATTAGGACCATATTTTTTGAGCGAGGTTTATCTTAAGTGCCCTCCTTATATTGTAGAAGTAAGGCACGCGTGTCAATTTTGTGAGGATGTAATTTTGGTCAGTGTTCAAAAAATCAAACAGGCCTTGAAAACCCACCAAGGGCGAGTTTTGACTAACTGGTAAACCAACAGGTTAAACTAGCCTAATCAGACAAGTCCCAAGCAGTCAAAAAAGTGTTAAAAAAAAAATACATAAAAAATCTAAAAAAAAAATAAAAGTATATTTTAAGCATAATTAAACAAAGCACATCCAATTAGTGGAAATTTTGGATTTTAAAAAATCGATTTGTGCCCATGGGTATTTTTGAAATTTTTAAAAATGATGGAAAATGTAAACATAATTACTCATGGCTAAAACATTTTCCAATCTTTGCCAAAAATGACAAAAAACACTAAAAAACACATTACAAACAAATCCCTTATTCTTTGAGACTTTATATAATATTTTATGAACCGTTTTAAGAATATCAGGCCAGATCACCAAAACCGGTCAAAAATCATAACTTACCAGTGCCTAGTTCCGATCTAAGCGACCAGTTCCGAGTTGAATCGGCCAATATTGCGAACACTAGTTTCGGTGTTGGAAACCTTGTGATGGCTTGTAAATCTATTTTAATACCTAGTGATGAAAATTGAAATTCTAAAAATGATATAGATTGAGCAAATCTATTAATAATTAAAATCTTGAGAATAGAGGTTTAGAGAATTTGTTATAAGATGTATCATTTTTAGAGCTTCAAACTCACTTTGCCATCATATCCATAGATCTTGAGGTCGAGATGATCAAATTGGAGGGTAATTCTAACATATGAACACTCTCTTCTAGAGGATTTTTGAAGGGCACCTTTCTTCAATAATGTAAGGTTGACCCTTTACATAAACTTTATCCTTGTTTTGCTACCAAACATGTATAAAGACCAATTAGAAGTTAAGGGTGGCTACAATTGGTGATAAGATGAGGAAAAATATACTCAAGTGATTTGGTCATATCTAGTGTCGATCTAGAACATTGCCATATTTGGTTTAAGTGGATGAATCTAAAAAAAAAAACGAAAATGACATAGATGAAAGTAGTGAGAAGAGATATGATGAATTAATAGTCTAACTAAATATATGACTCTTGACAGCGGAGACTAGCAAAACAAAATTCGTCTACTTGAAATGAAATAATTGTAATAAGACTTGAATAATAATAATGATATATTTGATTTGAATCAAAATAGCCCGATCTGATTTCATCTTTCACTCTTCACCGCCTCGAAAAAACAACCCAATCGGCCTAATGAAACATCACCGCCTCGGAAAGACAACGCAATCGGTTCCTAAAGAAACATCACCGCCTCGAAAAGACAACCCAATCGGCTCCTAACGAAACAATTTTCACCAGTCGGGGTCCAAAATGAAACAATATTTTTGTTGTTGCGACCCACCAACTTCTTTTACATAAACATATATCACCGTATTCATCTCATAAGCAACACCAGTTCAAAGCGACGTCGGGTTCATACCTTTTATGGTGGCATTTTCTCCCAGAATCCTCTGATGTGGGATATCTCCAATCTCTACTTCAAAGTTCATTTATATAAGTTCATTTATATGTATATGTTTCCATCAATTGTCGTATTCAAGGGTAAGTTCAGCTACAAAACTGAAATAGTCTATAAAATAAATTTTACTTTTATTTTCTAAATTAATAATATTTTTTTTATACAATTTACAAAAAATAAAAATACATATAATTAAGTTTCAATTACAAATAATTACAAAAAAGGTTTCATATAATTAATTTACAAAATTTAATATAATTATATTGAAATTATTATTGTTTATTTATCTTAATAACTTGTTAATCTTATGTCAGTATAATCATGTGAATACGTTTGCATGAAAATTATGTTAATATTATTGTGATGAATGAATATAATTATGTAAAAATTGTTGATTTATTTACTATAATTATGTTAAATTTGTTATTGCTACATTGAAATTTTTGTTGTTATAAATTCATTAAAACATCACATAATTTAATGTATTAAATTGCTGCATTATTAATAAATTTTTATTGTTATATAGATTACGTTATTTTCATATTTAATATAGATTGTATTTTTAAATTAATATATTTATAACTCATACATAAAGTAACAAATACTTATTGTCGATTTGTTATTGTTATAATAACTTATTTTATAGAGCAATAAAACTTTAATGTAATTTTGAATTATATTAAGTTATTATTGTTATATAAAATATATAACAATTCTGAAGCGTACATGGAACCACTCAATGAATTGTCAAGACAATTCAACGAGTGACACCAACATTGAAGAGGAAGAACAACGGCGGGTTTCATTTTGGTATCATGTTGTATTTTGATTGTTATATGTTCCATTTTAGACCACGTATTTATATCCATGCTGATTATTATAAGCTCTTTTTTTCAGTTATATGAGTGAGTGGTTAAAAGACATGTAAACAAGAAAACAACATCCCAATATTCACATATTTTTAAAAAAATAATGAAAATACATGATGTACCACTCCCAAATAAAATTAGAAACTCAAAAAACACTATTTTAAAAGATTTTTAGTGATTTTTTTACATTTTGTTGCGCTAAAACTCACCGATACGCCCGATTCTCCAATCCAAATCGCCGATCTGCCGATCCGACACAATTTTTAGGAAAACCGATATGGATCTTTGATCCATTTTTCCAAACCTTGTAAAGAACCACGTTGCCAGATTTTGGGACCTAAAAGTGATCCTAGATGGGATCTCACCCTAAGGAGTGTCAATCTTTTGAATTCCAAAAGCTCTAACAAGACAAGAAAAATAAGAATCTCACACACATGGAAGGACCACACCCGTGATCATATGTGGTGCTATGCACTCACAAACAAACGAAGCGTGGCATGGCGTATGACCCAAATTCCGAATACTCGTTCCAAACTTTTTATTCATGGGAAAGAGATTGACGTGCAATAAAACCCGTGAACCAACAAAACATAACATCAAGCAGGGAATAGTTCTCACTCTCTCTCTCTCTCTCTCTCTCTCTCTCTCTCTCT